AATTATTATTATTATTATTATTATTATTATTATTTTATATGATAATATAATTATAATTTCTTAATAAAATGAATAATATAATTAATAATATTAATATAATTGAATAAAACAGAATTTAAAAAATAAATTTTTAATATGAGTGAATCAACATGCCAACATTATACAGCAACAAAAGTATTTTTATTTTATTTTTAGTTTTTAATTCTTTCATTTTTGGGGGTTTTTTTGTTTGTTTTTTTAATATGAGTGAGTACATTTTTAATATGAGTGAATCAACATGCCAACATTATACAGCAACAAAAGTATTTATTTATTTATTTTTTTAGTTTTTAATTCTTTCATTTTGGGTTTTTTTTGTTTGTTTTTTTTTTTTTTTTCAATTGTTTTTTTTTTTCAAATTCAATTTTTAATTCAAAAATTATATTTTCATGTTTAAATCAGCATTATTTACTTATGTTCATGCTTTTATTCATTTTAGGATAATAAATATGATATTATGTTTTGTTTTGTTTTATTTTATTTTGCTTGCATTTTATATTTTATTGTTAATAATAAAAATATTGTAATGTTTTTTTTAATTATATTTAGAAATAGATTTAGAAATAAACTTTGGAACATTGATACCGAACTGTATTGAAACAACATTGAACTGAATTGAGCTGAATTATGACACTACTGTCTTCTGTATAGAGCTGCTTTGCAGCTGGAATTCTTTTTATTACAGAATTTTACAACATGAACACTGTTGTTTTCCTGTTTAATGTGAAGCTGCTGAAACAATCTGCATAAATGTGACTTGACTTGAATATAGCACACAAGTCGTATGGAATGGTTTGTTTTTTGTTTTCCACTCATTTTCATTATGGGTGCGCCATCCCTTTAAAATAACGAGCGCACATTTCAGCCACTGTTTTGTGCTGGAGTAGGCGTATCATTTTCATTCAGTGTTTTTATTGCAGCATCACTGTCGTCTGATAAAAAGCATGTTTGACGTGTTACTTCGCACAGGTTCATTCGTGAGCCCTGGTTACCCTAATGATGAACTCTAAATGATGTTATCACATTCTGCATTCCAAAGGTACTAATTACAGCCGAATTAGACTCAAAGGAGTAATTAGGGTTTCTTTTGTGAAGGTTGTTGGAAGGAAAAAATCTGAATGTGAATGTGATGTTAATTACTGAAACAGTAACACCCTTTCAGTCTGATCTTCTGATCTTGATGCCATGTCTAATATTATTAGCATTCCCCACCGTCTTGCACCTGGCAGATGCGGTTCCTGTTATTTGCGAATGCTGGTTGTATTGGCACCGTAGAGGAGAGCGAGCGGGTGGCCGGCTTGCCAATCTCATTCCATTTGCTGTGTGTTAAACTTTTGATTGGCCTGTTGCTGCAAATGGAGAATGTATTTATGTGGTTGATTGCGGAGCTCATGGGTCTCTTACGAGAGAGGGGAACTCATTTGCACTCCACTGAAAATACATTTCACACACTTTAGATAGGTTTTATCCGTGCGCACTGCACTCGCTTGGACATTGACGCATTTTAAGGTTGCATTTACACTAAGGCACAGATCCATATCCGTTTTTCCTGTCGATATACTTTCTTTCAAGACTTGACTGTGTTTTTACATGAATACACCAACAAACAGCCAAGATATATATAATAAGAGTCAACTTAGCACCAAATGATAGTAAAGATAAGAAAGATAGTAATAATAATAATAGACTTAGACTTTAATTAGACTTTTTGAATACTTTTAAATATTGATGACAACAGAAATCACTGTGGACTTATTATTATTATTATTATTATTATTATTATTATTTTGCTGATTTTCCAGTGTAGAAATGTGTATAATTATATATTTATATATACAGTGCCTTGCGAAAGTATTCATACCCCTTCATTTTTTTTCACGTTTTGTTATATTGCTGCCTTATGTTAAACTGCTTTAAATTACTTTTTTCCCACATCAATCTATACTCCATACAGCATAATGGTAGAGCAAAAAACAGGTTTTTAACATCTTGGCAAATTTATTAAAAATAAAAAGCTTAAATGATTCCATTGCGTAAGTATTCATACCCTTATCTGGGACAGTTAAAATTTAGCTCAGGAGCATTCATATTGCTTGTAGATGTTACTACACTTCGAGTGAAGTTAACCTGTGGCAAATTCAATTGAATGGGTATGATTTGGAA